GAGGCATAAACTTTGTTGCATTTAAGTTGAACTTTTTGTGTGTGTTTTATTTGCATTTGTGTGTCTCATTTTATTGGATTTCACTGACACTGGCCATATGGAGGTAATCGGTGGTCGGGCGCATTAATAAATGGATAATTATTTGCAGTTTATTTATTTTAATTTTTTTTTTTTTCACTTATCAGTTTTGCTGTTTTTTAAAGGGAGGGTTGGGGAGGGGGGAGGGGGGAGGAAAAAAAAAAAAAAAAAAAAAGGAAAGAAAGAAGGGGGGGGGGGGGGCTGGGGGGGGGGGGGGGGGGGGGGGGGGAAAAGAAAAAAGAAAGGGGAGGAAAAGGGGGGGGGGCCCCCCCCCCCCCCCCCCCCCCAAAAAAAAAAAAAAAAAAAAGAGAAAAAAAAAAAAGGGGGGGGAAAAAAAAAAAAAGCCCCCCCCCCCCCCCAAAAAACAAACAAGGGGGGGGGGGGGAGGAAGGGGGAAAAAAAAAAAAAAAGGGGGCGGGCCCCCCCTCTCCTTTGTTGTCTTCTCCATCCATCTTGTAACAAATGGGGAGGGTGCAGGGTGTGGTGCAGGGCTCTGTATAATTTGCTTCTTTTTTTTTTGTACAATCAAGACACACACATATGTATGTATTTATGCACATGTATTTGTATGTGTGTGTGTGTGTGTGTGTGTGTGTATGCATTTTAAATAATCATTTGACGGCGAACGGAAATTGCGCTTAATTGCCAGCATGTTGAATTTTTCATTTGATTTTTACCCTTTTTAGTTTTTGGTTTTTTATCAGCTCTTTTTCGTCGTGTTCGGATAATTGCGCTTAAATAAATATTTGCCTGATAAATGCAAACATTTTTTTTTCCTCTTTCGCTTTGTTTAGGTTAATTGAACTTGGTCAGGGAGTTTGTCGGGCACTCTACAGATTTTACAGGCAGCTATGGGCTATAAATATATCTTCTTCAGCTTCAGCTTACGCTTTCCTTTTTAAGTAAAAAATCTTGAATATAGGTACACAAAATGTAACTTTAAACATCGATACAAGTTGGAGACAGCCATTAAGTGGTTCTGCTGAACATTTATGTAGCTATATTTAATTATTATTATATATTTATATTTATATATTTATTATTTATATATTTTTTGGCTTGGAAAGAGTATTCCTTGGTCGCTTTTGCGACAAATAACTGTGACGCGGCCCATGAACGCCTAAAAGACGGCATGCTAAAATTCAAGTGTTTGTTTTCGCTTCGTTCTTTTGCAACGATTATATTCAATAATTGTGTTCATTTAGATAAGTTACAAGCCTCGAGGGCCACAGACAAAGCTGCACCGCTGCACAGGGAAGCTCTGCTGGGGCCACTTCATCGGCCACGGCCACTGGGCTGACTGTCCAAATGGAGGCCAGTCACGCCATCGTCAGTGCACCCTCCTAGACCACGGGCTGGCAATGGGACAGGGACAGGGACTGGGTCTGGGCCTGGGACTGGGACCTGGTGTGTAGGTGTTGAAAGTGGCTGCAGGCACCTGCCTGCCAGCCTGCCTGCCTGCCAGGGAATCCAGATTGGGGACTGTGGAATCGCTGTGGCAAGGAACTGTGGCGGGTACTGAGGGACTTAGCAAATTGGCTGGCGCAGAAATGTGTCGGAAGTCTTTAGTAAAAGTTAAATAGAAAGCATATAGAAGATTTATATACCAGTCCCAGCTATAGTTATGCAAATTCTTGAAGCCAGTTTAAGCTCCCAAGATTCTTTAAAGCTCCAGTTTTCAGTTACAACGTTTACGATTTTCTGCATGGATTTTTGCGTGCTTTTTTGGTACACCAGAAAGGACTGAGAACTGCAAAAGAATCACGAGAACTTGGGGCTGTAATGTGATTCCTCATCAATGTACATACATATATCCCAGTAATCCCAGAATTATATTATCATTAACGATTTGGATAATTCTTGAACTCATCTATAGACAGTTTCATTTGCAAAAATTGCTGGAGATGGCATAGGGAATGCAACCACTTAAGAAAATAAATATTTAAAAGCTGGATTAATTATGTGGAAGGTGTGGTGTGTAGTGTAAGTTGATGTACGAGTAAGTGCAGCCCAGATACGTAAATGTGGCAAAACTAGTGGCGAAATAAAAAATGTAAATCATCTCCGGTAATTTTCATGCTCGTATTTATTTACATACATACATACATATGTATGAACGTATTTTACCAAGCTTCAAATCCTATTTATCTGATATCAAATCAGCTGCCAAACGCTTTTCACAGCTCAACAACCGGCAATGCCCTGTGCCTGGGCCTGTGCCGGGGCCTGGGCCTGGCCTAATCCCCTGCGCATAGAAGAAAGAAATTAAAACATTTGTTGCCATTTTCTATCGGCAGCCTTCAATCTGGGCAATTTGTCAATGGGCCGAGAGATTAAAATGCGGCAAAGGCAGAGGCAACAACAAAAAAAGAAAAGTATAAAATAAAATGCTGTTGGCTGGAGCAGGCGACGGAGACGGAGCTGAGGAGGATTTGTCGATTGAGCTGTGTGTGCATGCTTATCAGTGATGAGAATATGAGCGGCGCTGGAAAAGGACATCGGCGGCCCAAGGACTCGAAATATTTGTCACATTAGTCGCGGCATTATCGCCGCATATGCGAGCGGGCATCTGATAAGAAGCCATCCCCAGTCCATCCCAGTCCATCCCAGTCCATCCCAGTCTAGTCCAGTCCAGCCCATCCGATCCGATCCGATCCCATCTGAGCCGATCATCTGTTTGAGGATGATGCCAATGCAGCAGAAAATCTGGCGGCTGCCTTTTTTCCCCCCTCTGCTCTCTGCTCGCTGGATTTGCTACTGTTTGTTTGTGCTGGCCCTGATGGTGGTGGTGGTGCTGCTGCTGCTGCTGTTGCTGCTGATGCTGGTGGTGGGTCTGGCTCTGGGCTAATACAATTTTCCAAAAAAAAAATATTGTTGTTGTCAGTGTAATTGGCAGGATATTAGCAGGGGTTGTCCTGCCGCGTCCCAGTCAACGGATTACGTTGGGCATTATGAGCAAATTAAGTGTGAAGTGGCATTTGAGATTTACACACGCACACACACGCATGCATGGGATGAGGGATACTCAGGATGCTGAGGCGCTTAGCGAGTCCTCTCCTGGCACTTTAAAGTCCAACACAAAACCGAAAAACTAACAAAACAGGCCCGAACAAAGGGGACACACAAAAAGTCGACGAAAGGCGTCACATGTCAAAGACTCTTAGTCATTTAGATCCCCTCACCCCACCCCACCCCCACCCCGACGCACCCTTCGTGCCAGCGATCTTTGGCAAGCAAAAACAAACTAACATTTAACCCCAGGACCAGGACGGGCCCGGCCCCAACTGCCATCCCTCACAGCCACACAGCCACACAGCCATTCCATTCGCCCACTACTCATCCTAGCTGAGCTTATCATTTACACTTAAAGGCTCAAGCCAGCTTAAGGCGGGGGAAGTGAAGTTGGCAGCCCTGGCACGTGCCGGGGCATTATTAACCGCAAAATGCTCATAAAGGATCAATTTGTGAGCACACGTGTCAGGATAATGCCCCATGCACTCTTCTTCCTGGCCAGGAAAGGCCAGGGGCCAGGGGCCAGGGGCCGGGGAAGACAAAGCGTGAAGTTCACATAAATCAAAGCAACGGCTGCCAAATGGACAAAGATGATGACAGTCCAGTCCCTAAGGCTAAGGCTAAGGCTAAGGGGATGGGCTAAGGCGGCGCCAGACAGACACAACACTGCACTTGGCCTGGCAGAATATGCAATTTAAAGTGTCGCCATTCCACACAAAGGAAATCATTAAACATGCAAAGGACCCTTGGAATGGGTGTGTGGTGTGAAGGAAAGGAAGCTCCTGCGATTTATGGCAGCCGATGGAAATGGCTTGGCTGCCAGGGATATGTGGACCAGTGTGTGCAGAGTTGAGCTCTAAGCCTGCATTAATTTCTTCTAATGATTTTACACGAGGAAATTACCTTTACCCGACCAATAAAAGCTTAACACAAAAAAGCCATAAAATATCAGCGATGGCCAGGTTGCTCTATAAAAAGAATATGGAGTATTATGTTTGATAACTTGGATAAAGTAACACGTTGGTGAAATTACTTTACTCCTAAATGTGATTGTTTATGCTGAAGTCAAGGTATTTTTCAGGGTTGCACTTGAGTTCTTCTACAGTGTACCGTTGACAGTAATTTTCTGAACTCAACGCCTTGTTAAAAGAAACAACATTTTGTTTTTTAAGATAATAGTTTCGTTTTTGAATAATAAAAATAATAATATTTTTTTGGGGCTCCAAATATGTAGCTCTTTTTTTATGGATAAAATAATACATTTTTTTAATAAAATAACTTTGAAAACAATAATGATTTTTAGAAGTACTCTTGCGTTCTGTTTACAAATTTAAATATTCTACACAGTTACACAGTTACAGCTCTGGTTCAGTGTAGTTCTTACTTTCCATCGAATAGGACTCTTGTATTTAAATAATTTATTTTCAACGTACCGAAAGGTTTTTACCGGTAAAATGTGGTGTGATCGGGAGTGTTGTGAAACAGCTGTAGGCTAAAGCCGGTCATCCATACATTTTTAAAAACGATACCTTAAACGACGCTTAATAAACGAGCCTATACGAATAAATTATAAAATTAGAAGAATCTAATTTATTACGAATTTTCCTGTTATTTTAATTAGCCAGATTGGCTTGGAAATGTTATTTTTGTGTACGCAACTTAACAAAAATCTGCGCAAGTCATTAACAGATGTATATAAAATAGAAATAGCAAAGGTTCTAGCACCAAGACCTATGGGACACCAAAGGTGAGTTCGCAACAACAGACAGTTGTGTAGCCCACTTAACTTGGCCAGCAGAATATAGTGGTTCAAGTGTCGAAAGCTTAATCATAGTCAAGATAACAATATTACTTATTTTAATTTTATTTCGATATTTGACCCATTTTCGGCATTCCAATTTTCACATTGTTCCGTTTTCTTGACAAATAAAAACAAAGCCCAAAATGAACGCTTGATGACAATTACAAAAACTCGTGGCGCGTGTTCTCAGTGAAACTCTAAAGATGGTATGTAAACCTGAATGTGATAATGGTCGATATTGCTCCCCCAATGTTAATTGACCGCTCAATGAAATCTGCCGCCCAGCTTGTGCCCTTCCAGTTGAAACTGACGCCGGTGCAGATGGATACGGTCAGAAAGAGCTACATTTCCAAGAAAGACGGCTACGGGGTGCAAGTTCTTCTGATTATTCGTGAACATTACTCCGCCACTAAGTACAGCTTCCCCCAGGACCTGGACATCACAGTGAACGAGAAGCCGTGTGCTCTGCCAGCAACGGTGAGCCTGGACACCCACTAACTCGCTCATTTACATATGTTATGCTTTATTTGCACACACAGCACGGCCCCATAAACATTGCCGACCATTTGAAACTTCACTGCTCGAACTTTATCAACAAAATAAAACTGCAATGGTGCTCGGACGACACTCGCACCTTTGTTATTAAATTGTTTTTGGCTAAGCAGCTGTCCGTCAACCAAATGTTGGACCGCATACGGAACAGGCCGATGATGCCAGCAGAACGTGTTCAGAAAATGTGTATGTTTGCCATAGAGTTCTATTCAATTTAGGCCCAGCTACATAAATTTACACAAAGTTTTGGCAGAGAATTTGGGCCGCGCGATGCCCAACATACCCGTACCCGCACCCGTAATAGTTTCGCTCAAGTGTCCGGCGGGAAAGGTGAAGATTCGAGTGCCGTGTCGCGCCTCAACCTGTTCGCACTTTCTGTGCTTTGACGCTGGCGCCTACCTGGCAATGAACAAGCGTGAGGCGAAATGGATATGTCCAGTGTGCCACAAGCAGGCCCTGTACGAGGATCTCGTTATAGATGGGTATGTGAACAAATGCATTTAATTATTGCTGAAATTATGTTTAATCCGGTTGCACAGATATTTTCATCACATTCTAAACTCTGGACTACTAGAGGAATACGACGAGGAGATACAGGTACACGAGGATGGCGCGTGGAGTGTTCCGCGACTCGCGTCCCAGAATAACAATCAGCCTATTTCGCACATAGCTAAAACATCACTGCACGACTCTAAGGATGATATTCTGTAGCAAATCACATGCACAAATCATTTTTCTTATATGTAAGCGGAAAGATTTTCACATATCATCGATGTACACACATTCGTTGCACACATGTGTGTGTGTGTGTGTGTGTGTGTAGTATTAATTTGTTTGTTTTCAAGGAATAAAGATGTCGGAATTCGCGTATACTATGTATAATAATCACATGTGATTTGGTCTGTGAACCGTTTGGCAAGGGCGACTCCCACACACGCACACACACACACACGCACACACACACACACAGCAGCCGAGCTGAAGCCAACCCCTGTTGATTTCCTGCTTAACCGAATTGTGGTTGGTGGTGACGCTGCTGGCGCTGTGGATGCTGCTGGTCCACCACCCACAAAAATGTGCGGCTAATTGGATGTCTATGTATGGCGGAAAGCGGATAGCTCTCTGCCTGAGTGGGTGCTGGCAGTGAGTGTGTGGAAGTGTGGCAGGTCTTTGACAGTCGGCGGATGATTTCCATGCAAATTGATGTTACAGCACAGTAAGCAGGCAATATTTCTGCTTCATTTCATAAATGCGTCCAGGGCCAATACGACGCCCAGTCCCAGTCCCAGTCCCCAATCGCAAGTCCCCAACGGCCAACCATCCAACCATCCATCCATCAGCTGGCAAAGTTTGCATATCAAACGTTTCACGAGAAGAGAAGGATGTCATTGCTGGTGCTTACATACACACATACATATGTATGTATGGCTGGTGACGGTGACGATGACGATGATGGCAATGACGATGGTGAGGAGGAGGAGGAGGAGGCGGAGATGCCTGTTGACGTGTTTGCTGGCTCTTCCTTAATTTATACATGAATCTACAGCCAATTTGTTTAACTCGCAATTTCGGTTCAATATACATATGTACACGTGCATGCCACACATACATATGTACATACATAAATATGTCCATGTTTCCGTGTACTTATGTTCATGTGGGTGGACACTTTTATAATTTTTATAATCGAATTTTCGGCGGATCGGGAGCTATGATTTGTTGCCTGCATAAGACAAGTAAAATTAAAAAATATTTCAAAATAAAGATGGAGCTGCTTGGAACTGGCCCTACAGCTGTGCAGTCCGCAGCAATCCTTTGCATTTTGATTTAATAGCAATCCAAGCAGATCCTTAGAGCCTCTCCATCTTAACGAAAAAGTTTCCCCCGTGCGCTGCCCTTAAATTCAATATATTTTCTTATGCTTAAATGCCTTAAATTAAATCATTAAATGCCTTACATTTAAGAGCTTAATATGTGCCGATTGAGCGCTGATTTAAGTTCGATTTTCCTAAGGATAAAATATGGTTTTTAATCTTGAAGAGTCTGCCGAAAGCTTTCCAACACTTGTCACTTCCAGCACTACATTTTCCAGGGACTCGCAGCACCCATAAAGCCTTTTCCAATCCTCTTCAAAGCATCCCTACAGATGACGTGCATATATGTACTGTCTTACTGTCAAAGTACGAGTAGTAGGCCATGCAGTTGCCATAAATCAGAAGACGAAGATTCATTTCCCACTTCAAGGCTCAAACCGGTTACATCGTGTCGTTTTATTGGTGACAAATCAGTTTTACTTTTTCTGGCATTCTAGAATTGTGCAAAAGTTGCACTACTGTTAAGCGCTGCACACCAAAAAAGGGGGCTGCAAATTAAACAAATTGAAAAGGTGTTTTTTAATTTCCAAAAAGGTAAGTGCTTCCTGCTCTTGCTGCACCCTGGCCAATATTTCCAGTGAATATTCCTTTGAGTAGACTCGAAACTCAGCAAATAAAAATGGATGAGCTGCTCACTGACGAAGTTATGTATGCAAACCGTCCTTCCGAAATTGTTGATATGCTCCGCAATATTTATACTAACCTTGATGCACCATCGCCGCGCCAAGTGAAGAAAAAGCCCAAGATGCCCTTCCGCCGTGTGTCATCAGTACAGCAGGCGGTAAGTCAGCAATCGGATCGGAATCTAAACATTTTCAAGGATAAATTGCACACACACCTATTATTATTTTTCCCTTTTTTCAGATTCTTCGAGACTCGCCCAAGCTCGTTTGCATCTGCGAGCGTGGCAAAAATTTCTACCATTGTGAAAACTGTAGGAAGAGCATGCATGGACGCGCTGCCCAGGTTTGTCCTGTCCATCCTTCGGTTTTCTTTTTGATGGACTTTCGCGGATGTCCCTATTGCGCTGACGTTATCATAGCCGACAAGACTGACGAACAACCAGATGATGGCGCCATTTAAGCGTGTGTTGGATCTTCCAACTGAAATTATGCGGAAAAAGGCAAGCCTCACAGCTCAAACAAAATATAACAAAATTCTTTAAAAAATAAAAGAGTTCCATGCCTAATTGGTTTTTATTTTTCATTTTATCTGTATTAGGAATGTCAACGAAATAAAGTTTCTTTTTGGCAAAGGACATTGCCATCGAACTTCACACTTCTACCCACACATTTCTATATTTTGATTTGTCTAGGGAAATCCGCCTGGAACTATGCCTGGAACTATTTAAATTAATGCTCTAAATTAGCCCGTGCTCACATCAGCAATGTCGCCGCAGGATTGCATCAAGAAACACTGCTAGCAAGAAGAAAAACCTTTCTTGGTTCTTGGTGCCCCGTCACATATTTTTTTGTTGGATCTGAAAATTGTTTTTAGTTACATTTTTTATTGCTCGCAATAATTAGCAAGCGACAAACCAACCAACAACTACTGAAACAGCGATCGTGTTTAATTGAGCGTGCCCCGGCAAGGCCCAGAGAGTTTCTGTTTTGTGTCATTTGTCTTTAATGAAAGGTTGCCCTCTGGCCAAGCCAGCCCAGACCAGAGCAGAGCAGAGCAGCAGACCTGACCAAGCCGCTTATTGTGTTTGTTGTCGTTTCATTGTCCTACCAAGCGTCGCTTTTGTTTTAAGCCAGCAGCCAGCAGCAATTTGAACATTGCGGCCAATTTGTCGATGAAGGCGCAAAAACACAAGAAACGGCAGAAAAGTACAAAACACGCGTGGTGCCAGCCAGCTATCTGGTGTCTCCATGGACAGGGGACAGGGACACCAGCAGCAGCAACAGCAGCAGAAGCAGCAGCGACTGCTGCATACCCTAAATGGCATTCCAGACAAAAGGCTCTTCTGACTACTGTTTCGGAGCTATTTACTGTAGGAACTATACAGATAATACATATCTGTTAATATCAATTCCTCTGGCTACAGTTTCGTACTAATTCTTTATTATTTTTTGTAATAGCCAAATGGAATCCAATGAGTGGTAAATATTTATTATTGTAGCTCCTGGGTACATCGATGCTTGGATTTAATGGTTTAAAATAAATATGGAATGCAATTAATTCGTTAAATAATATTAAAGAATGCTGGAATCATAGTGTTAGTCCCGTAAAGCGCATAGGAACTCTGGGATTTTGGGTTCGCTCTCTAAAGAACACTCACAACCTTTTTAATGTTGACCAATTTAGCATTTTCCATGGGTTCTACTTTATCTTGGCTTGGTAAGTACTCTGACCGTTTTTCGCCCTTTCTGTTACTGCCAGTCAGCTGTCCGGGGTATGGTATGGTATTGTATGGTATCCCTGGCTCTGGACTTCAAGGATCGTTTGGCTGGTCTTGCCTGCAGCGGGTACTTGCATGCGAGCACGCAAGGCGTTTTCAGCCAGTGGTGTGGTGGGGGTAGGGAACGGGGACATGGTCAAAACTGTTCAAGACAACCTTTCCTGCCTGTGCCCCCGCCCCTGCCCATGCCTGTGCCCCCGCCTGGCTGTCCTGCTGTTTTGGCCAACTGGTGGACAACGGCAGTTATTCAATATATCAACTTTTGGCCTAATAAATGCACTAATTGCGGTTAAATGCATTTTGCATGCAATTATTATCATTAGGGGTTGGCTCGCACGTCGTCGTCGTCGTCGTCGTCGTCGTTCTCTCTCCTTTCCCTATTCCCCATTCCCTTTCCATGCCCACCCTCCGTCGTTTGTAAATTGTTTCGGTTGGTCATTATTTTAATTGCCCGCGGGGCACACACACCCCCACCACCTACCCATACCCATACCCACACTCACCCATCACCCGTACAAGGTGCAATTTTTTTCATAAGTTTATCTTTTATTTAGACAAAAACTTATATTTAGTTACTAACATAGACAAAAAAATGGTGTAGAATACTTTACATATTACATATTACAGTTACAACGATTATAGAACTAAGCTACGCAAAAAAAAAAAAATATATATATATATGTATGTATGTATGTATTTATTTCATATTTCATCTACCCGAAGTTGTCGCTTAGTTGTTGTTTGTTGTGGCTGGTGGATAATACATTTTGTGGTTAGGCTTAGAGTGTACAACATTCGTTTGCTTTCTTTTTGTTTTTGGCTGCTACTTTTTACAACATTCAAATAAATATCTATATTCTAGGTTCACGATTTTTCACGATTATGTTACATGTATACAAAATTGTTGCTTCGTTTTTTAGAAAACATTTTGTTTGAATAAATTACTTAGATAAAATCAAAATAAATTAGGCAAGCACACACAGATAAACAGATAAATATATACGGTTATATACACACACACACACACACGCACACAGAGAAAAGCGCCACCCAAGAGGCCTGGCCGGAGGGGGGTTATGCGGCACTTTGCATTCGCAATTTGAAGAGTTTTAAAGCTGAAATAGTCGTAAATATGAGTTCATCTCATTTGAAATACGTGATTTTTAATTATCTTTAATAAGGGGAGATTTAAAAAAAAAACGTATCCCAATCTTTAGCTTGTGGATCGATGCTCAATTTTAACATTTGCATTGGGCAATGTGTTGAAATCAATGAAAAATGAATACCATTAATGGAGAGCAGTGTTGGGGCAACTGCTACTTCAAAAAGTAGTTTAAATATAAATACAAAATATTAATAAACAAGAAGTGAGCATTTTCCTATAAAGGGTATACATACGCATACTCGAATTGTGATTGCATTTGACCTTTGTGTAGCATCAATGGGAAACTCTCTTGCTAAGCGACACTTGCACCGCATAACCCTTACTAAATACACATACACATACACATACAGATACAGATAAGCACACATAACACATACACATACACCCTGCCCCCCTGCTCATTTAGCACTGGGAAGGCGCTTGCTCTCACACCTGGATCTGATCCTCATCGTCGGACTGGGCCTGCGAGCAACTGTCCACCGAGCGTCCCGGCGGACTGCCCGGATTGAGCGTGGGACTCGGCGTCGAGGGCGGATGCGGTGGCGATGCAGATGCAGATAACGGAGGCGGATACGCCAAGCATGGGCGGGCTGCTGGCCAACGGCTTGAGTGGGCCGCCAGGAGCCGGGACTGAGGACGCTGGCGGTGGACCGTTTGCGGCGGCTGCGGCAGCTGCTGCATTCTGGTAGTAGTTGCTCAGCGAGGACAGCGAGCTTGATGCGGACAGGTGGGAGAAGGGGGCTGCCGAGGCGGAAGCGAGCGGACCGACGCCCACGCTGGGCACGCCGGCGTACAGGTTGTAGGGCAGGGGCTTCTGCATGGCGGCGGCGGCGGCTGCCTGCCGGTAGTAAATGTCTATGCTGGTATGTTGCGTTGCACCGTGCGCGGCTGCAGCAGCGGCCCCGGCGCCGGCAGCTGCCGCATACGGCCAGGCGCCCAGGTAGGGCGATCCCCCGTACAGCCGCTGGAAGGCGGCGAAGTTACCGGCCTCCGCGAGCAGCTCCAGACCCACAGCCGTCTGGCGCTTCCACTTGGTTCTGCATGGAGACAAAGAGAGAGAGAGGGAGAGAGAGACTGCTTTAGGATGGTGCTCGCCAGGTGAGGTGGGTGGAGCGGGGGGAGACGTACCTTCGGTTCTGGTACCAGGTCTTCACTTGGCAATCGCTCAGATCCAGCTTGTGGGCGAGCTCCTGGCGCTCCTGAACGCTCAGATACTTCTGCCGCTCGAAGGACTTCTCCAGCGTCTGCAGCTGGTGGTCGGTGAAGGCGGTGCGTGCCTTGCGCTGCTTTTTACTGAGCCCGCTCATGTCGTTGGTGGAGCCGCTCTTGATGCTGTTGCCATCGTCATCCTTGCCCCCTGGAAGAAAGAGTGGGACAGACGTTGCATGTTATAGAAAATATCCATTGATGCGAGCATAGACAACATTTATCTGCATTTATGACCACCAAATGCCCCCAGGATAAGCTTCGATCCGGCCAAGGGAAGGCTCCTAGCTCATGGCCAGCCTTCGCATCTGGTCTAGCCCGGTCTGTGCCGGGGGCTCAGCCCAGAACGGGCTCAGACAAACAGTTGCAGTTACAGTTACAGTTAGAGGCTCGTTTATGGCCACGCAATTGCCGCTTCCGCTCACAAAGCGGTTACCCACCGTCCAGCCCCGCGTCGCCGTGTGGCTTCGTGTTGTGTGTAAGTGTAATAAAAATGTGTAGCAAAATGTCTAAACTTGCCGCAGCCACTCCACACACACACACACACACACAGACACAGAGAGAGAGAGAGGGGGAGCGTGCTCACCCCGTCTGAGAGGTTTCTGTAGGCAGCCGCTTTTCCACCTTTCCCGCGAGTTCCGATGCCCCCGCGGGGCAAGGCGCTGCTCGTTTGCCATTTAGTACATAAAATTTATGTAAATTCATCCGATTGCGGTTCGCTGATAAGCGAGAGCGAGTCGAGTCGAGCCGAGCCGAGCCGAGTTTTTGGGCCACGGCCAGGAGGGGCTGGCTCGTAGAGTTCTACTCACGCTGAAAACTCTCAAGCGTTAAATTATTTAAAGCGAAAATTTGCCAAGTGCCACACTCGGAGGCAGTCAGAGTTGGTCAGAGCGCAGAGTGAAGGGGTGTGTGGGGGGGGACAGTGGCAGGGTGAATGGACACACAACAGTGGCAGACGATGAAGAAATCAGTTTTGGAGTCTATTCAAAAGTTACTTCAAAATATTTGCAGGAATTACTGGAAGTCGGAAATCAATTTAAAAAATAATTTCCCATGGATATAGTGGATAATTGTAGATCAATTGAGTGGATTAGTATTGGAGGGAGTTCTTCCCATATCACTTATACGTATGTGATGTGGGGAAGCCCCTAAACAGATAAATATAAGCCGATAAATGCCTAATTGCAACGATAAATAAGCGACGATAATGCAATTGAATAAAACTCATTTACAATTACAGCAAATTACTCACGAATGCTGGAATTGCCGCCTCGTTAGGCTATTGATTTGCTGGCCGTTAATTTGTTGAGCAGCTGATTGACATTTCAGAGAAAGCGTTTTCGCAATTAAAACGTAAAGGTCAATTTATTGCCACAAGCGAAATGATAATTGAGTTACTATACTGCCTGCAATTAGCTAAAATTAGCTCCTAAAATATGATTTTAAGTGTGGAATGCAAAACTGAAAGAGTTAAATAATTATTTTTAAAAACAGCTTTTAGGCTTAAATATTTTCAAACAAGAAATATCAAATAAAAAATATAATCAATATCTGCGTTATTCGATTCCTTCATGAATTCTCTCTTCCATCGGTAATCAGACGAATTGATGGACTCCAAACTTTCCCTGCCCGGAGGCAAATCATTTAGGCCCCGTCTCTGTCAGCCCCAGAGCGGGCGACGGGCACTCCAAAAGGGGTGAGAGGGAGGATGAGTGTAGTGGACGCGACTACCGTTTATAAAATTGCAATTGGCAACAGGAAATTGCCGTAATAAATGCCACAAAACAGAGGCCAGATGCAGCCGCCCGGCCCGGCCCGTCAGCGCCAGAAGAACGGCGAGCGAGTGGAGTGGAGAGGAGATTGGAGTGTGAAGTGTGTGGTGTGTGGGGTGCAGAGATGAGCAAACAGACTGCAACATTTGTATCTGTTTTGCTGCTTTGGTGTTGTGCTGCTGTCGTTGCAACAGCAATAACTGTTGCCATGGGGCATCTATTAAAAGGGTTAAATGCATTTTTATAACAATTTCCACAATTAAATGATTGTCAGGGACGCCAGAGAGTGGGCCTGGGAGGCAGTGCGTGAGAGTGGTGCACAACCAGAGAGGAACAAAGAGAGACAGAAAGACAGAGAGAGAGCGAGAGAGAGACATGTAATTATTTGAGATTTGTTTTTTGCTGCGTTTTTAAACAGCATTTTGTTGCTGCTCTCCCCACAGAGCCGCCAGCCTGCCGCCTGCCCCTGCTGCATTCACCTACCTACCCAGCACATTGCCAGAAAAAGGCCACGCCCCCCACTCTGCCATAATGGGCATTTGCAGTGCAGTGCAGTGCAGTGCAGGTGCATGCCTAAGGGGGCAGGAGTGGGGAGCAGTGGGTAGCAGTGGGTAGCAGTGGGGTGCCCCTTTAGAAGCTTCCCAATGACGCAAACAAAGCGTGAAAATGTACGTTTTTTTTTCAGGTGGAAAAACTACCACAACGGCAAGAGTCGAGAATGTAAAACGGTCATGCAATCGTTTTTACAGTTTGTTTTGCAAAGCGACATCATCCCCCCATTCCCATGCCCGCAAAATGCGCCAGCAAGCGCCAACCTCAAACCACCTCAAAACGAACAAAAGATTTAGGCAACGAACTTGAAGCCATATACTTAAGCCTCAATTGAATTCGTTTTGATTACTGAATTACTACCCGTTTAAAATTGGACATTGGATAGATATACCTAGACTGAGGGGACACAAACACAAACCTCAAATGATGACTCAAAATGTGAAAATCAGAACTCGCAACTCGGAACGAACACACAAACTCTTAATTCAAATCAAGTTAAAGTTTAACTAACAAAACAAGAAATTGGCCTGCGTTAAAATTCGTGAACAGTTCGGATTGATAAACTTAAATTTGTATTACATGCAAAAAAGCGGTTTCCATGGAGCAGACAGTATTTTAATTTTTTACTCTGCATAAATGGTCCAGTTCTGGGCGAAATATCTGCTATAGAAAGCGCGCTGATGATGCCAACTGCCACTACATATAAAAATATGTTATAAATATTTTATGAACCCTTGAAAAAGCCCTAAAACTATTTGAATGATATTTACAGGAAACCCTGAACATGTCTAAGGTTTCTACAGGTTATAGGCGCTCATATTTTATATTATAAAAATATTAACACTATTTTGAAAGCATTTCTTTGCTTATTTTGAGAAAAAGACTAGACTACTTTTGAGGAGCAATCGGCGGAACTGGCATAAATGAGCGCAGCAGCCTCAGCCTCAGCCTCACATTTAGGTGCCAATGATACTCCATCAATATGGCGAGTATCTGTCTATCGATGTTTTTGTAGACCAACAACCACCCGCAACCCGGTCCCCAAATAGTACAGAGGCTCACCTCACCATTACTACAAACGCTGTGATCGTCCATGTGTCCGCTGCCACTGCCGCCGCCGCCTCCGTTGCCGCTGCCCGCCTCATCGCTGTCGCAGTCGTCGTTCTCCTCGTGGTAGTCGCTGCTATCGTCCAGCTCTGCGCCCGTCGGTGCACCCACAGCTCCGCCACCCACGCCGGGGCCCACTCCAGCTGCGGCTGCTGCTGCTGCGGCGGCCGCTGCTGCTGCTGCTGCATTGTTGCGTGCTGCGGCGGCGGCTGCTGCTGCCGCGTAATGCTGCTGCATGGCTGCCGCGTACTGGGCTACGTTAAGACCGTTGGATCCCATTTGTGTGGTGGCGCCACCGCCACCGCTGCTGCCGAGGCCGACGCCAATGCCAATGCCGACGCCGACCGACGGGGCGAAGTGATTCAATTTGGCATGTGGATGATGGACCAACGCATGCGGATTCGGATGCTGGTGCGAGTGCTGGTGCGGATGTGGGTGGTGTAGGGGTGGTGGGACGGCCACTGCCGGTGGTGCTGCGACGGCTGCAGGTGGTCCCGCTGATCCCCCTGATCCCGCTGGTGGGCCTGTCGCCGCCTCCAAGTGCTCGTCGTTGTTGTTGCTGTTGCCCTGGCTGTGGGTGGGGCTGCTGTCGCCACTCGAGCTGGAGTTGTGGTTGTGGTTGTTGTTGTTGTGGCTACTGCTGTTGTTGTTGTTGTTCTGCTGGTGGTGGTGGTGCTGCTGTTGCTGCTTATAGAACGCGGCCGCCGCACTGCCCGCCAAGATGTCGTTGATCATGAACCGGGAGCGGTTCGGCTTCAGGTTGGACGACGTGGTCGACATGTTCACCGCCGGCGGCTGCAGGCCCGTATAGTGGTGATGCAGCGGGTGCGGTGCGGGTGCGGGTGTGGCTGGTGGTGTTGGTGGTGGGGCAGCGCGTGCAGCGGATGGGGCAGCGCGTGCAGCTGGTGGTGCAGCTGTGGATGATGCACTTGGGGCGTCTCGCTGGGCGACTGGGTGAGTATGCCCATCGAGTCTTTCATTTCTTGAGCACAAAACACACGCTTTCCGATTTCCCCTCCCCCTGCAAAGCTACACTGCACTTCGCGTTCGGCCGCACGTTTGGGGGCACAGAATACAACAAAAAAAATGGTCCACAGACTGCTCTGTCACTCTGACTGACTGTGTGGACCCTCTTGGACTGCGCTGGGGCCTGCTGGGTCTGTCTCTGTCTTCGGTTCAAGTCTTTTCCGTCTGCCGCGGTGGAAACGTCGTGCGCGCTGTGGCTGCCAAAACGAGACTGAACCGCACCTGCGAGCGAGCGCAGCCTCAGCCTCAGCCTTTGCCTCTACCGCTGCTGCAACAGTCCGGGTCGCGGCAGAGCCAGAGCCAGTACGCCGTCAGCGACGGCGTCGAGCTACAATTTTGCCACTTTGTCATAGGCGGGGTGGTGGCTTTGGGCTGCCATTGCGCTGGCCCTGGGCTGGAGCGAGAGCGCTGTAGTTCTTCACTTGTCCCTGTCGTACACTGCTCTGCTGCTCAGACCCGCTCTCTTTGCCTGTTGCCGTCTCATCTGCCGTCCTGCTCCGGCTTAGGTGCCATGTTGTGAGCGCGCTGCGAGCTGTGAGCGCCGGAACCCACCACGTTCATCGAGCTCTGAGCCGTGGTGGATTTCGCTCTCTCTCGCTCTCGCTCGCGCTCTCGCTCTCTTTCGCTCGGTCTCAGTTTTTATGGCAAGTCGGCGAAACTGTGGCAAATGTCGGTCAAATGCCTTCGCAGCTATAATATCGGACTGATTGGAGTCTCTTCCTCTGGCTCTTCTTTCTGTTGATGTTGGCTGACTGCAAGGAGTGGGCGGGCCACTGCCAGAGCATCAAAATGGCGCTATAACGGGGAGTGGAATTTTAATTTAGGTTCCAAGTGCAGTTCGATAAATATTGAAAAGCTTTTATGGAGCTTTAAAAGGGTTTGAATTGTCCCTTGAGTTTCAATATAACCAAAAGGCTTGGTTTCTCTTCCCCTATTTAAAAAATTCAAAAATTATTATATTCAATACCAGTAATTTTTTCTAAGGGAGAGCCACTTTAGGGTTGTAGATTTATCTGGAGAGGATCAGTAATTTAAATAAGTTTCAGCTAATTTCAAAGTAATTTCTTAATTTGTTAATTTTATATTTAAGAAAAAAATATAAAGTGCAAGTTACTAAAATTAAAATTTAAAATTTTATTTGAAAAAAAAAATGTTCGCGGATTTTTTGAGATTTTTCCGGCAAGGATAAATGTATGCTCCGTCCTGCTTTCCGCTGGCCCAACCCAAGAAATGATTTTCTGCTCTGCGGATGTTGATAACAGATCTGAGCGAAAAGAGTCAATGGGCTGATGTGTTGGCATTAGCTGGCAAACCAAACAGGCTAATTGTGTGGGGATGGATGGACATGGTCTGAGTCCGAGTCTGATCGTATGATACGATAGATCTGTGGCTGGATACGGACAACTGTTAAATAGTTCGCAGAAGAGACATGGAGAGAGGCGGGAGGATGGGGGCTTCCTGCAGCGACCGGAAAATACGCTGCCAACTGCCTTCAAGAGCCAGAGCCAGAGCCTGGCAACTGTCCAGCCAGGGCGGTCGGTCAACAGAAGGCAGTGGCAGTGGCAGTGGCAGTAACCATCAACTGGTCGAAGGCGGAGACAACTGCGCATTGCGGTTTGGCCGCAGTTTTTACGAGTCTTGCACATTTGTTTTTCCACATTTTGTTGGCTGTAGCTCGTAGCTCGTAGCTGCTGTTGTGCGAGCACAATTATTATAAGCATTCAATTGGAATTGCTATTTGGCATTGGCATTGGCATGGGCATGGGTATGGGCATGGGTATTGGCTCTTGTATTCCCATTCACAGTCGGATTCGACCGCAGAACGCAAGCGGAGTGCAGCGAGGGAGGGAGGGAGGGAGGGCGACCACAGGATATGCGACCTGGTCTGCCAATTATATGCATTTAAGTGCAATAACCGTCATCAGGACGAAGGACACGGGCACGGACACGGACACAGACACAGAAACGGACACGGACACGGACACGAATGGCAGGGCAGAGCAGGAATCTCAAAGAACGGTTCGATTGACTCCGCCAAGTCGCCTCCGACTGCGACTCCGTGGGCCCGGCCCTGTGCGTCGCATTTGATGCTTCAGCAGAGACCAGACTCTAATTATTTTAATGCTCCTCGCAATTGAAGCGCGCGCTTGCGTCCTTCCTCCTGCTCCTGCCTTTGCTCCTGCAACGGCAACTGCAACGGCAACCGCTCCTGTTCCCGCTCTAATTTCGTTGCACCTCACCACTAATGACCTACGCAGCTCACCTGAGCCGACCTTTTTCCCGGTCCGCACTCCCGGAATCAATACCAATCAAACGTGCGCCGCTCTCGACAAATTGTATTTCCCCTGCCCATGCCCCTGCCCCTGCCCCTGTCCTCTTCCGCCCGTGAGAGAAGCAATTAGTCCTTGGCCAACAACATGTGGCCACAAACCGAACAGAACCAAACCAAACCGAACCCAACCAAAGAAGAGCCGAGCTATTGGCGTGAAATTTTAATTGCCATCTCGTTGTCTGGGTGCAGTGCATGGTGGATGGGGCAGAGCTGAGCTGAGCTGAGCTGCCAGCTTGTCGCCACAGAGAGCCTGCGAAGAGGTGGGGAGCCAAGCTACGCCAATGCTTTTCCCATGCATCATGCAACTATGAAAAATATGAACAACATCGGAGAATTTTTTCTACCAAAGAAGGGACTAGGGATAGAGTAAAAACTAGTGGAACAGATTAAAAAAAAATATCGACCATTTGTTGTATATTTACATCGGGATTATCATACCTTGAACAGAATACCTTGGTATCGAAATCTTCCACCAGCTCACCACGGGAGAGAACTGCACAAAAATGGTTTAGTTCATTATTAAAAATTAGCAAAAATATTAAACAAGTTTATTTTAAAGTGCCGCGTAGAGTCTAGTTCATCCCCATACAAAAAAGTAATACCATTTGGTTATGGGCAACACGGGGGCATTAAAGGGTCAATTGATCGTTGATCTGATTGCGATCAGATGCCATATTCGGAGAGAAAAGATCACACACACTCTGTGATGCAATGTTTTCCGTTTTCGGTTTTCGAATTTTAAACTTTTGGAGGAACGAACTTCTCTCGGATGCGGATGTGGGAGGAATTTATTTGAATTGCGATTGATCTGAAAGCTTTGGCTAGTTTGGCACTTTCCACTCGATGACATTCCAAACGAAAAGTTGCAGCCCCAAAAAAGAAATGAACTCGAATCAGCGCACCGATCAACCCACCTGCGAGGCACCACCAGCGGAATCCAAGCTCGAAACTCCTTTGGCAGCCACATCACAACTTGGTCCCCGGTCCCCATTCCCTGTCCGGCCCGTCCCGGCCCGTCCCTCTTTCTGTTGCGGAATCTTAATCGGCATCTTTGATATTATAATGTTCGTGTTGCTGCGTGGACAAACGTAATAAAATAACTGATCGTTGTCGCTGATAAGTTAATTTACTTTTAATGTGTTGCCCTCGACGAACCCTCGAGCCGAGCGAGCATCTTGCGACGTGGGGGTAAATGGCTCTGTAGGTGACAAAGGTTCTCGCTGGACCAAGTACCCGTCCGTCCTCGGCCCTTGCCTCAGCCAAGATCGAGACTCGACTCTGCTATTCCTTGTTTTGGGTTCTCTTTTTTTTCTTTATCGACTTGCTGTTACAGGACTCGGGTATACTGAACTCTTGGAGATGTTTGCAGCTATATATTTATATATATTCTTGTGCAAGAGCCAGAGACAGACTCTGTGTGCAGACTCCTCTGATATTATCTATATATATGTACATATATTTTGTATTATTATTTTTAAGATTATTATCGTAGCCTGCAACTGAATTTTCTATGCATTCGCTGATCAGGTTTGGTTTACGTTTTTGACAGCTCCAAAATCGGTGAATTAAGTTTAAAACAGACCACAGAATACAGCTACTGCAGAATGATAACAAATGTTCCTATCCACCAGATGGACATATCCATCTACCCATATTACAAGTTAAGTTTGCTGACTCTCCCTGCTTGCTTTCTCTTTTTATACATATTCTCGTCTAATGATGGAGTGAAGGAGCTCTAACGGCTGGAAGATAACTCGTTGCTGGGAAGGGAGTAGGATAAACAGCTACAGGATAGGACACCACAGCCATAGTTAAACCAAAAATGTAATCATAAGAAACGGAGTAGCAAGTAGCACAGTTTCGAGGCGGGTCATGTGCCGAGACTCCAAGCATTTCGGCTGCTGTTTTACCAAAGATATTCCAACAAAAACTGAACACTCGCAGCCTTTTTTTCATAGGCAAGCCAATTAAACAACAATTGTTGACACGAACGATCGATCGATCGATCGATCTGCAAGGGTATCAACATATTCGGTCCCACAGGTAGCCCGAAGAAGTTTTCGTTTTATTTTTAGTTGGTTTTATTTTGGTTGTTTTTTGTTGTTTTTTGTTCGTTGGTCGGTCGCGTGTGCCGTCGATGGCCAACCTTGTTGCCAACTGATTTGTCAACAACGTGGCCAACAAAGGTGTTCTCTCCTTCTCTGTGGCCGATTTATCGCTGCTCCAGATCAGTCAGCATGCCAGCCAAACACCAACAACTACAGGATAAACATAAAGCCCCGATTCCGTCCGTCCATAGCCATCCGTCGGACCCATAGCCATCCGTCGAAGCCGTTCTGGAGCGGCGCTCGTTTCAAAATTGATGTCGCCCCACTAAATGGATGCTATTTAAATTTTTACTGCCTGCCTGTGACTATAAATCCAATTCAGGCCTGGATCCTAGCCAAAAAGAGACATAAGAAGCCCCCATAAGAAGGTCCCCACCCCCTTTCCCTGTTTCTTCTACGCTCTCTCTGGCCATCTGTATCGGGCCTTGGTCCGATTTTAATGGCTCAGCTTAGCCTGGACGGCTAATCAACACCTCGCTGGGATTTGGCCTGGCCTGGCCTGGGGCTGGGACTGGGGCTGGGGCTGGAGGAGCTACGGGTTGGTTCTTGGCTGCACTGAAAGAGAGAGAGATTTGCATGCAGGCGATAGGGAACGCTCTCCCGACAGTCGTTATTCATTAAGATGCCTTGGCTTATCGCCAAAAACAACTCCACGCCGAGACCCGACCCAAACAATGTCCATAAATTCTGTTAGCAATATTTTGGGTTCGTTTTGGGGTCCACAACGTTTTAGCTCGTGGCACAAGAACAATTCAACAGCAAGAAATTTCGTCAGTATCTATTATGTTTTGTTAGCAATTTGTAAATAGCCTGAAACCTCTCGATGCTCCTCCTCGCGGCGGGTTCTTATCTGGGGATGGGCCGCTTAATTAGGAGAGCAACCTGCTTAAACGGCAGCCT